TGACGCTGCCGTGACGCTGCCGTGACGCTGCCGTGACAGAAAGAACAGGAGGCTTAGTAAAAATACAAGTGTGTATGCTCTATGGGCCCAATGGAGGCTGAAGATTGGCTGGAGATAAGATACAATGTAAGATTTAAATGTACTTTATTAATCCCAATTTGGGAAATGTTTTTGTTGCACCAGCATAAAACAAAACAAGGCATTGCTCATAAGCTCTGGGGAATTTTGTGATCAAGAGTCAGGCCATTTTGGCTTCATGCGCAACTTTCATAGGAATAAACTGGGTCCTGCTTCCAGAGCTATACCCAGTTCTTATTATACATCCATGGTTGAATTTCTTGACCGTCACTGACGTACTGAAATTGTTGAATCAGACAAACTGCACCATGACTAGCACCCAAAGCTCTACCGCACCTCAAATTTGAACAGAGACCAGACACAAATCTATGTTTATAAATGTATGTATACAAACAATAGACTGTTCATGGTATAATCGATAAGGTCACTGCTTTATTTATGCCTATATGACATTATTTTGAGTGTGAATGGAGCAGCTACAATGGTAGCTTGAGTAACGTAGCCTGAATGATCAGATTTCCATTCAGAAAACAAGCATTTTGAGAGATTTTAGAGAATAAATAATTGAGGATCGAATACCTTCACTGTGACCTGTATTCAACACCCTAATTTCTGCTCTTATGCTTGAAAAAAAAGTATGAACTAATCATCATTTAGGGGTAATTTCCCCATTTTGCATCCTGCCGGCCACAGGCACACGTGTTGTTGTTGCAAGCCGGCCCTCTTTCCAACCTCAGTGTTTACAAATGAACCCGCTTCCAGTAAACTGAGAAGTGAAGCCACGACTTAACACTCCGGTTCAATGGAAATGACGGAAGTACATTTTTCATTTTTAAAACCGCACGGCCATGAGAGAGAAACAGGATGCTGTGTGGTTACAACAGCAACAGAAAACGTCACAGTCATGCCACAAGACACCTGACAAAAAAAATGCCTAAAAAAACCTCATCTAAACATAATGTGCAATACTCCGATCTTTTAGTGTTTATTTCCCACGGAGGCTTTACATTGGCTTTCAGGCCTGGGGCATCCTGCAGTGTTGAGTGCAGAAAGAATGACCTTTTTGTGAGCAGAGCATCATGTTTTTACAGCTCAGAGATGACATTTCACTCAGAGCCCTCCACCATTGACGTCAGTCCCAGTCATTGTCAGAGTGATCTGAATTCTACACCCCCCCACTCTCCTGTAGCTTCTTCCACGCTAATGCACCATCAAATAAATCGAAACACGGTGGGCAAGACGCAGCGCACATCGGAGGGATTCTATAAATAGTGTGAGAGACATCGGTAATAGGCTGTGTAAATTACAGCAGCAATATGTTCAAACAAAACAATCAAAAGAGGTATAATAGAAATGTATATTAACTAAATTGAGCAGTTTGATTTATACATTTCTTTAATGTAACTTTTGTATGATTTTATAATCCTTACAAAACCCAAAGCTACGAAAAGTGTGGGTAAATAAAAATGTTAATATATAAAATAAGTTAAATAAGTTACTAACTTTAATTAAGTTAAAACTGTACAACCAACAGGTCTTTACATAAAACTGTGAGTTAATTTACTTGCAAAATAATATTTTCAATTTAAAACAATTATAAGAAAATGCATTTTTATTAAGAAGAATGTCTTACTCACTTTTCACTGAAGTAAAGTATCAAACCAAATCAAACTCAACAGAAGGCACCAAAACTCAAAGTACTTATTATTGTATTAATGTGTGTATTACAGCTGGTAGAAGTGAAGCTAAATGAATTACTTTGCATACTGCAGCTGGATATTTTAACTATATGTCAATGTTTATTTATTCATTTTATAAGTCTTTTAATCTTTAAAATACATCCAAAAAGAACAAAACTAAAAAAGGTGCAAAATAGAAGTAGAAAGTAGCGTAATAGATTAGATTAGATTAGATTACTTTATTGTCATTACAAAATGCAAGCACAGTGTAACGAAATTAAGGAGGGTCTAACCAGAGTGTAAAACAGTCAGTTATATAAACAATTATCAGAAGTATGTACAAAATAAATGATAAAAAAAAATAAAGGTAAATAGATGGGAAATGTATAAATAAGAATAAATACACAGATAATAATAAATACAATGAATACAGTACTGTATATAAAACAGTAATGTACAAGGATAATTGCGCTTCAGCACAGCACACGACAACAACTACTGTAGGCAGTATGGGACAGCGTGGGGTTCATTGTAAGTAATGGGAGGGAAACTACCTAAAAAATGTACCTAAATACAAACTTGTTTGGATGTGTTCACCATATTGCACATCGTAATGGTTCAAACTAATTGAATTGATTTCTGCTTAGTCTTCACAATCTAAAATGTAATTATTTCGAAATTGCAATTTAGCATGCGTTTGTGAATGTTAAGGAAATTAAATTAAATCAATCAGAATCAGAAACGGGTTTATTACTAGGTAGGTTGACACGTACGAGGAATTTGACTTGGTGTCGTGGTGCACACATAAAAGTAAAACAAGAATTAAAAAAACACAGATAGCGAACTATTTTAACACTGTAATAACATTACAAAAAAATATAGTAAAATATAGTAAAATCTAGCAGTAATTTACATTGAAATAGAATGCAATAAAATATGTGCAGTAAGCAAACCATGTTGTCCCTTTCTCAATCTTGATCTTTGCTGTCACACTTAAATAACTAAAAGAGCATGCTTGGAAACAAACATCTCTTTGGGAACAGGACAATGCGGCCGAGCATCAAACACTTGCATGTGAAGCTGGGAGTTAATGTCGGGGATGACTGGGTCAGCTGATGGGTCACGGGGTCTTTCGCACCATGTGTGTGCATGCTTCGCTCCGCCGGCCCCTAAAGCTGCCGGTCAGAACGTGACCTTAACAAACTCCTTTAGGCTCAGTGGGGTGTAAGGTTAATGGGATGGAGGATGGGGGTTAATCCTGAGTCAGGTGGTTCCTCACAAGACCGAGTGCAGCAGATCGAGGAGAGGAAGGCAGCGGAGTGTGTGTGTCTAATGAGAAACTGCGTCAGAAAGTGACAGCAGAGCAAGTGCGTCAGGAGAGCAACCACTTCAGAAGAAAGGGGTTTTCCTCTGGCAGTTATAGACACTTATACTTGCTCATAGGTTATGAGGTTATGATGCCACCAAATAAACAATCGGGCAATTTCATTTCTGTTTTTTATTTCCACAGAGATTGTTTGGTTGAATCCACTGTGACGTAAAAAGCCAGAATTGACGAGCGTGTTTGTCGTTTCGTGTTTGTAGCGTACAACGCGAGTACTTATTTGTTGAGATCTCAAAATGTTTTTCCCACCATATCTTTGCTTGAACCTGCTACAGCTTTCTTTATTTTAAATCAGTTTAATTGCACTGTCTGACGTCCTGTTTTTGGATTTAATATTAGAAGAAATAACCGACAAAAGAAGATTATAGTACAGTATAATACACATATAGTTTATGATGAGAGGTCAATCAATTCATTCATTTAAATGAATTATTTACATATGGATTAATAGAATCAAACATATCAATGCACTTCTATATGCATGGAAAATATATATTTTTTATAATTTATTAATCTTATAAACCTGTTAATTTGACAATCCTAAAATATAATAATAATAAATCAACATTTTTTTAATAAAACCAAATAAATGAATAAATAAATCTGAAATATAAGGAAACACACTTTTTTCTTTGATGATATAATAACTATTTGTATTGACATTCTTTAAGGAGATATCCTCACACTGCTGCTTAACAAAAGCATGCGGCTTGGTCCCGCTCTGCCTATCATGAGCTGATACGCAGGGTGAGATCTGTGTGTGCTTAATGATTAAAGCAAGGCATGGCTGCTTCGGGGGATTAACACATTTTATGCCAATGGCAGACTCTGCCTGAATGCTAATTCTCCATTCACTAAATTGACTGATGTGATAATACTTTGGAAGGATTCAAGGTCACGGAGGCAGGAGATTACATAATGCAGTCCTGAGAGAAGAGAGGTAAAAAAACACACTGCCCGTCGCTGGTGGAGAAAAACAAAAAGCTGCAGCGATAAATTATTTTTCCAAACCGTAAAGCTGATATCTGGAGCCTCAGCGCCTGCAGTGCTGTTAGCAGTGAAGGTTAACCTCAGTGGAGACCACAGCAGCTGATAATAGTGTTGCACGGTGCGTCTGCATGTGTTGTTTCTGAAGCAGGAATGGTTTCCCACAGAGGTCAAAGAGGTTTATTTTGAAAACAGGGGGGCTTGAACAATGGAGGATTTGTTCACAGAAAGCACATTTTATTTAACATGTAAGGATTCATGTGCAGGGTTATCAAGATCCCTCCGCTTCACGTTTGATTTTAAGGTTTTCTTTTTGATTAATGACCGCCTCGTTGCACATTATTACACAGCCTCATACTAAATAAACCAACGACTTGACTCCCAATATGAATAGAAAATGATTTTATTGTCTTAAAAAGTATCTCAGTGCTTCCACTAAAAAGCAAAGTCTTTAAAATGGCGGCAGCCCTTATTGAGGTTTTCTGTAACTGTTCAAGTCTGTTCACATATTCTTTTCCACTAACAAGTCCTTAAAGAGTCCATACCGTGTTAATGTTTACTTCCTGTCTGTCTTCTTCTGGTGATTTCTCTGATGTCCAGCACTCTGTCTTTTAACCTCTTTCCCACTCTGCATTGTCCCTCCTTAGCAACAGTCATTGTTTTTGCTTTACAGCAGTGTGTTATCAAGTATTACCAACCTCTGTCCAAATTGACCAATCAGAATCGACTATTGAACAAAGCCGTGTAATACGACCTTTATATATACAGTCTATGAATACGACCCTATAATGGCCCCTGCTGTGAAGATGTGAAGGTATTGAATGTGTGTAGGACTTTGAAACAGATCAATGTGTGTGTGACGTCATCCTTACCCGCATCATTTCGGCCACGTAGCTCTCCGGGCCGGTGTACTCTGTGGAGTCCTTCACCTTCACTAGGACGATGAAGAACAAGTAGTGCCACATGTTGTGCTCCACTTTGATGTGTTCTTCGAAGGTGACCGTCTTATTGTCAAACTTGTCTCTCTCCAATCCTAAAAAATCACAAGGATACACCACAGTCACACACCACACATCCCAAATAAACACGGTGAAGAAACACTCTTTGTGTCGCAACATGATGTAACCGCTCTTGTGATCTAAAGAAGGATGACTAACTGAAATTGTCTCACAAGGGAATGTACACACCAAACAGGTCAGGTGAGTTCTGCTGAAAATGTCTGTCACAACAAATCCCTCTAGTGATGTTACTGTAGTTCAATGAGTAGCCAATGAGTGACTGTTTATTGACTGATGAGGCCAGTGTCTGTGTACAGTCTAACATGGTCAAGAGAGTCAGACCCATCATGCAACAGGAAGAAACACCCCTCCTCCGCAGCGGCACGGTAGCAGCAGCACTGCCATGACTAAACATTCATTCTGGGAAGAGGAGGCGTTTCGGTGTTTATGCTACTCGGAAAAAACAGCCCCCATGCTTCACAGCAAGCATCACGCTTATACAAGTGTCGTCTCAGAGCGGACCCCTCCTTTCATTCGTCTTGATTTCATTATCATTTGCAAACCTCAGCATTCACACCTGCTGATGACACTACACAGTTTTTAACAGTTGTGCTTCCCGCTTTGACTCGAATGTATCGCGGTTGGTGTTTCTGCCTTATTACATTCTAAGAAGGGATTTTGACTTCCATAGAGTGATGATTAAAATATGTGCCAAAGGTCGTGAGTCACTTTCTACTTAAGTTGACGAACCACAGTGTCGGTTGTTACTTGATGAGTAGCCAGAATACATTTAATGATGGAAAAAGTGACGGCGGTTATATGATCTTACAACAATATATGACCATGCAGAATAACAGTTCTTTTTTATTTCCCTCACCGCAAATGAAACAGGTTGTCTTTAAGATTTCCTCTTTCTTCTGCTTCTCACTCCTCAGGTCGGCAAATGTGTCGATGATGACACCAAAGATGAGGTTGAGGACGATGATGATGACCATGAAGAAGAAGAGCATGTCGTAGATCACCCGGGCTGCGAAAAGAGGCTCCTGTTGGAGACAAACAGGAGAAGATGTGTTAGAACAAGCTAAATGAGCTGGTGTTACCCTGTCATTAGTCATCATGTATCACGTATCGACCGTCAAGCACATTTTAAGCACATTTTTGAAATGTAGCAAAAAAGAAATGTGACAAAAACAACAAATACATATATATAAATTGAATAAATGAATGTTGGAGATGGAAAGTAAAAAAGGGGGGGAATGGGCTATGCTTCATACATTGCTGTAATTCGCTAGTAAACAGAGAAGTAGAAGTAAAGGTTTGAAAATGTAAAAGTCGCACTGGCCATTTCCCCCATCTTCTGGTATTTGTTTTAATTGGTTCAAGTTAAAATGTTTATTTCATGTCAGCTAATTTCCATGCCAAGTTTCATGCTATCCAAAGACAAAGCTAAGTTATTGCAATGATTCGAACGCATGAGCAGTAACATTTTGTCTTCTTTACTCTTACATGTAGGTGACTGAATAAATCAACACTAAGTAAGTTATATTAGTCATAGTGTTTGTTAACATAAGTAGAAATGAGGTATAAAGTGTTCTTAATCCTACCTTTGAGTTGTAAGATGTTACATTTAATTTCTAAAATATCTGTCTTATCAAGATTACAAAATCTCCAGTATGTTTATTGAAAAACCAAGCCCATTTACATCCAATCCTGATGCTATCACTGTGTTAACACATCGCAGTGAGTCATAATGCAATCTCTGCACACAGAATGAGGTACGAGTACACGAGCCATCCAATCAAACACAATCCGACACAACTGAAAACAGTACGGAGAATTCACATGAGTGTGAAGCTAGCTGAGGTTTATATAAGCATGTATGGGTCAAGCTTCAGATCTGACACATGTTGTGGTAGTGCACGAGCTCGTCTTCATCCTGGATAAGTACCATTAATGCTTTTTTTTCTGCCGTGTTTGAAGTTCTGAAAGTCCCCTACGCAACCTCATGACCTCAAGTCTTTCTCTCACAGACAGCCTCGTTAAGCCTGCTGCTCTCATCTGTTGCATGGAATTAACCAACCATTTTATATTTGCTTTATGCGGTCAAAAATGTTATGTTCTGTACTTTTTGAAGATTTAATTAAATAAAATGTACTCATTAAAACGTTTACTTTTTAATTTGTATTATCAGTGTTCTCCATCCACTTTAATTAAACTTAATTGAATCTGTGGTAAGGGATTGTGCAGGCATGTGATGTGTGTGTTGCATTTCAGTGGCGAGATGTCCATGACTCCTATAATCCAATAGATCTTAAACTACAACAAAGAGGGACAAATTATGAAAAAAAGGCTCATTTAGGACATTTAATTATACTGTTTTTGAAAGTCTTATCTAATCTTGGATGTGATTTTGTCCTTGTCGTGTTCCTGTGCTTTGTACCTCTTTGGATGGCTTCCTCAGGACGTCCCCAACACCTCCTCCACTCCTCAGGCCGTGACTCAGCACCGTGACAATGCACATGAGCAGCGAGTCACATGACCGCTCCTTGTCCTCGATCACCACCGCCGACGGCTGGATGGCAACAGTAGCTGTGGAGACACAACGATACTGTGAGATATCTGTCATTTCTTATAAAGAGAGTAAGTCTGCATGGCTATGACCAGCCAATGATGCCTTTAAACTTAATTGATAAAGGAGAGGATCCATTTATGATTGGTGGGTAGAGTGAACAGAAATGGTACTCAATCAATGTTTTGTTACTTTAGTTATATTGACTTATGTTGTTTTTTACACCCGTGTCGAACATGCTTAAATGATTGGATTACGTTATTATTAACATTTTTTATTTCATTGTTAAAGCTGATGCAACTTTTATTCTTAATTCTTCTTCAATTTAGATATTTAACGTCATAGTGACATCACTACAGTATGTAACACTTGCGCTAATATGGGCTAGTGCTTCAACACATTGTACGTGATAGGTTAAGGTTGACCAATCACAACAGAGCTAACCAATCAGAGCAGACTGGGCTCTTGTTTCAGGCAGTATGAGAAAAATAAAGACCTTTTTGAACATGATAGCAAGTAAACATGTCACAGTAGAGGCACAACATACAAAAATGAACCTGCAAATGTCCCTCATAGGGCCCCTTTAAAAAGGCCCGTTAATTAATTAAAGTGCCATATATAAATATAATAATATCATTATATTTACTCTTAAACACAGTTTAATCTCTTAAAACAAAAAAACAATAAAAACCTCAAACACCCCAAGAGTAACTAACCTAAGAAGAACAATTTATTTACAAAAGAAAACAGTAAAGTTCATGTTCCCAGTTAAATGTAATGTGTTACTACCCACTAAGAATTCAACTACACAAAAAAAATGGAAGATTTAAGGTCCGATACAATCCTAACTCACTTGAACCCTAATGTCACACTATTCTCAGACTTAAGGAGGGGGGTCTCTGGGGAAATAACATGTCTGGGAATTTCTCAACTATCCTCTAAAATACAAGTCACCAGACTAACATGGCCTGGTGAAGCCCAGGCGAGGTCGCGCCGCTGTGAGGACTCCGCATGGTTGGCTGATCGATTTTTAAGGTGCTGCATGTGCTCTTTGATTGGAGGCTTTCCCCATCAAGGTCAGTCGGTTTGCAAATGTTCGTTGTTTTGCTGTGAGAAGCTATGTGCGCCTTCACTGAGTGCACCCATCGACCAGCTCATACCTGATGGCAATTAATCCCTTACCTCTGACCCCAGGCCCCTACACCAGTCTAAAGCCCTGGTGTTTCCCCCCCGGCTCCCTGAAAGCCCCCAGTTGGTGCAACCGGGTTAAATCCCATGTGACCGCCCGGCTCAGGGGGACGGATCTCCTGAGTGATTGTCTGTGAACACACACACACACACACACACACACACACACACACACACACACACACACACACACACACACACACACACACACACACCACGACACACACACACACACAACACCACACACACACACACACACACACACACACACACACACACACACACACACACACACACACCACACACACACACACACACACACACACACACTACCACACACACACACACACACACGACCACACACAACACACAACACACACACCAGCACACCCACACCAACACACACACACACACACACACACACACACACACACACACACACACACACAACACACACCCACACACACACACACACACACCACACACACACACACACACACACACACACACACACACCACACACACACACACACACCACACACACACAACACACACACACACACACACACACACACACACACACACACACACACACACACACACACCTCTCTCTTACCTTGCCTCACAGCCTCTGTGGAACAGTTCTCCCCATTCTCTTTCCGGCAGACTCCACCAGAGAATAACTCTCCCACCATACTGGCTCCATGCTCTATAGAAATAATTTTTTTTAAATGTAATTAAATAAAAAAGATATAATAATACATATCATTTGAAGGTATTCAAAGACACTTATATACAGTTTAAAATTCATAAAAAAAGAAACAGTAAAAACATTAAGATACGTTTTTTTATTTGAATATAGACAGATTGGTGCAGTCACGGATGTGTTTGGGAAGTTATATCCAGAAAGAGTCATAATGCATCTACATACATATATGTGTGTGTGTGTGTGTGTGTGTGTGTTTGCTGCAGAGAAACATTCCTTGTTTCTTCTCTTAACTGTCCCCGGGGTCAGAGAAGGACGAGTTATTTATGTTCGTCCCGGTTAGGGAGTGAGAAGTAACAACCTGTTTCGTACCTAGTGTTTTGTTGGGTATCCTGTCGACATTCAGAATGAAGTCGTCTTTGAAGAAGATGTAGCCCACGATGGAGAAGAGGTAGACGAGGATAAGAGCCAGCACGGCTGTCAGGAGAATGGAGCGGCCATTGCGGGTCACACTCTTTATTACGTTCAGCAAGGTCTCCTCTCGGTACACCAGATCAAAGAGCTGGAAAAAGAGTGGATTTAGAGATTGGATTACAATATGTTCAAATGTGGACTAAGAATGACATTTTTCTGGTTTTTGGTTATACATTTGGTAAGACACCCACCACCTAATTTAATTCTCTTTGCCAACAACTATACATTAGATATGATTCATCTTTTTTTCGGAAGTGCAAGAAATGCAGTTAAATGTACAGATATACTATAAGTATATAAATATGACACATAACGAAAAACGAAAATATATACAATATAAACAGTAATATTAGGCATGAACTATGTTAAAAGTAGTCTTATATAAAAAACACTATGAAAGGTAGTGGAAAGTTTAATATAGACACACATAAATATCACACACTAGTTTTAAGTATTGACACTTTTATAAATAATATGAATGAAATATAAGTATGCGCCCAGTGTACAAAGTTTTATAAATAAAAACAAAAATGTATAATGTAAATAAAAATATGACCAATGTGCAAAGTCAGTCTCATGGTTAAATGATGTTGGTAGAGAATAGAGACAAAATTAAAACCTAGGGCCTATATGTCCAAGTGTGTTTTGTGTGTGTTCACGTACCAGCAGGCTGTAAAAGAAGACATGAACGAAGACCCCCAGGCTGCAGATGATCAGGTAGAGCAGGTGGTACAGGAACTCCACATCCATGACCATGGCCAGGTAGCCCCGTGTGAAGGTTCCCCGGTTTCCCACGAAGCTCGTCAGGAAGATTATCTTGTTACACAACTGGAGAACAATGGAGAGGGGATGTTTTTCATTGATAACAAAAATAAAGTGGATGTGGTTAAGTGGTACAGAACGTCTCAGGCTTATGCATCTATAACAGTGCCATTTCTATTAGCATCTGTAATGCTACCGCAAGTTAAAGGGGCCCTATTATGCTGATTTCTAGGTTCCTATTTGTATTTTGTGCCTCTACTGTGTCATGCTTTGATGTTTAAATCCATTTACATGCACAAAAACCTATACTACAAGAAAGGGAAAACCCCAAAAATGAGGGCCTCTTTAAAGAAGTGTGAAACGTGACATCTTGATGAATGCTTGATGTTGCTCTACACTCCTGGTAGTCGCCGTGTTAAACGTGTTTAATGTGTATTCAATGTTTGGCATGTGACTGCGCAGTTTACCAATTCCAGTCATCCATCTGCTATGCAATAAAGCATGTATAAATAAATGTGATACTGCACGTGAGGTCTGTATGATCCTCATAGCAGGGAACACACTTACATTGAAGCCCCCCAGCAGCAGCAGCGTGGGCTCCAGGCCGACAGAGAAGATGAGGCGCAGGATGGTGGAGGCGATGAGCGCCCGGATACCGTGAGGCTGAGGAAACACGATGACGATGGCCAGAGAAACCAGCATGGCCATCCACAGCAGGGCAGAGAGGTGGGGCTCCAGGGTACCTGAGGAGGAAGGAGGTCACATCAGGGAGGAAGTGTGGCTCTTTTCTTTTTCTGTTTTCGGTGCGTGTTTTCTAAATGGAGATCGGCTAAGCTAACGTTGTATATGCTCCGACCGTCCACACTCACAACAACGGCCTATACAGACATAAATAAACCAGCGACTGTACTCGCCATGACACAGGCAGTCTGTGGTTTGTACTTGTTTAACTTTTGTCTAGTTTCTGAACAGATATGAGGAGCTGTGAGCTCTGAGTGCTAACAGCTAACGGCTGTGTTGTTTTTCTGTGGTTCGCATTGAAGATGACGTCACGGCTCCGCCTACACTGCGTTACTATAGTTACTGCCCCAGCTACTAAACTGTAATGGAAACGTAGCATAAAGTGAGCCAGTCCTAACAAGGCCTAACTATACCGTACTAAGCCGAGCGAGGCCCTGCAATGGAAATGTGCCATAAGACCCCGTCCACACGGAGACGAAAACGAACCGAATTCGATATCAAAAAGTCTTCCATCCACACGGAATCGGCTCAAGAAACGTGTCCGTCCACACGAGACCGCTCGACCCGCTGGAGACGCTGTAGTACATATGCCAGGCCTGTAAGTGGCGCTGTACTTCCGCCACAAAATACACCAAAAGCAGCGAATAAGACCCCCCGAGCATGGTTGCCATGGTTGCCCTTCTGTTTATTCTCCTCGGTGGATTTAGCAACGTGTAGTTCATGTAATTCTCCATGTCCACTTGTTGCTGATGGTTGTGGTAGAGGAGCTGTAGATTCTGCACTAACATCTGTATCATGGTCAGTAGCGTCTGGAGCACGGAAGCAACCCTGTGATCCGCCATTGTTGTTGTTGTTTGCAAAACACATCAGCAATGACGCGGGGGTGAGCAGCAGAGGTGGGGAGAGGCGGAGCTATGGCGTCATCGTTATCAGGAAATGATCGTATAGGGCCGTACACACGGAGCCGTTTGGGCCCCCAGAGCGTTACGTCCGCAGATCTACCCACCTTGGGATGCGTTATCATTTGAGGGCTCCGTTTCTGTGTTTCCGTGTCGGCCTCATGTGGACGAACCGTCTATACGATAGAGAACTGTAGCGGATACAACTCGTTTCGAGCCTAAGAAATCCCATTAGATTCGCTTATGACAACAATTGTTTTGGAGTTATATTATAGAAGTAGAGCCTCTCTCTGTTTGTGTATATGTTGGTTTTTACACAACAGTTATGTGTTCATCTAAATCTATTATTTCATCTTCATGAGCACACCAGGCACTAACTCAATGCCCATCTAAATCCTATTTTTAAATATTAAAGTGCATTTATCTGTCGTTTTCTTTCCACTGAGGCTCTTAAACAGCACTCAGAGAGTCTCCCTACATCCCCTCCCTGCTGAGGCCTCCTTCTTCACGCCTCTCTGTGTACAGATCACATGACAGGTACTTGTTACATAACCCCCGGTTGGCTAAAAATACACTTGCCTGGAGCTGAAATCACCGGGGATGGTCCCGGGCGCAGCATCGTAACGCGCTGCCTGGGCGCCTGGACTTGGCAGCGAACCCAGACGCAGCAGTTTGGACGTCACACACCTACAGACTCAGACCATTCATCTCTCTCGCACGCTTACTCTGCAGCCAGGCGGAGATAGAGAGACTGACCTTTACACTAAAGCACTTACTGTACACTTCACCGAATCTAAATACAGCCTGACGTTTGCTATGTGATGAAAACTGAGATTCTACTTTACATGTGTGAGCGCCTGTGACAGGGTGGAGGGTCTGGCACTTCACCAACTTCTGATCTAGGGATACCTGACTCCACACAAACACCCAGCTGACTTAAACCACAGCACTACCCTATAGAAAGGACATAAGTTATTCAAGGTGCTTTTTTCTAGGGCTTCAGCACATCAGACCTCCACTATGAAAAAGCTCCTAACCACAGTTTATCTTCAAACAAACCACCTAGAGGAAACATCCACTGGCAGCATGTGAGTGCAGCTGATACAACAATGTTTAAGGGGACTTTCAGTGTTTATGTCCACTATAAAAATCTCCGTAATAAATGGATAGTTTGAAAGCTTTGAAGTGCGGTTGTTAGACGTACTTATCCACAGTCACAATCAAACAGATTATGACCCTTATCTAAAAAAACATTCTTGTTATTAAAGAAAATATGTAAAGTAAGTATAAAAGGACACTTTCACTGCAACAAAACTGTCACCCTTCTTTCTAAATGAGTAAATTGGAGGGACACTTTGAAGATTGTAAATTATAATTTCTGTAGATGGTGGTCCGCATGCCGACATTTGGGAGAAACAGGAAGTGGTTACCTCAAGGGGGGCTAAGCAATGTACTTCTCTGGATAGGGGTATCAGCAAAAAATGTATGGCTATTATACTTTTTTTTTGAAGTAGTGTACGCAATATTTACAAAACTTTTACCACTTTACTATACTGTCATGCAGCTCTTTACGACAGGGAACTGAAGCTGGTATATCGATCCAAGCTTTTGCTAAAGCCACCAGACTCCATTGAAACATTTATTAATATTTTAAACTGCAGAACACAGGATTATTTAGTCTGTCACTGTCTACAATGGTTTGAGTTTGCGTATGATGGGATGGTGTTTTAAAGGCTTAGTAAGCATGAACACAAATGAACTAACTAATTGAGACAGCTTTAGACCAGAACAATCCTGTCTTCTGCAAGGTTCAACTTCTGTATTGCCCCGAAGGAGACCGATTGCTTTGAAGGTAGAATAGATAACAACATAAATTAACCTGAGAGGTTGGAAAGGGCTGACAGCAAGGTGAAGGCGTGAACACATTCCAAATACAGAAAACACTTGAAATGACATGGCTCTTTTAAGTGGGCTTTTCTTTTATGAAGCAAGAATATATTTCGCTGCTGCTACTGTCCACAGCAGCTTTGCTCCCGTGTCAGTACTCCTCTGTTTCTCCAAATGTAATGAAACTGCCAAGGATACAAAGACTATGGATAATAATCCCATCAACCCCACTTAAAAGCATCCAAACTATCCCTTTAACCTACAAACAATGTGCAACCTGGAGAAGGTCACGTTTTTTGTTTCTTTTTCTAAGACTTCAGCACATCCGACCACTACTTGGAAAAGCTCCCAACCACAGTTTCCCTTCAAACAAACCACGTAGAGGAAACATCCACTGACAGACATGAGAAGGAGGCGTGCAGCTGATACAACAATCAGGGGATTTCCTGGAGTTTAACTTCCCCATACCATTTACAAGCATACCTTTAAAAGCTATTAAAATGTCTTAATTAAGTCCAAATTAAGTTCACTGGAGGAGTCTGGATCTAACATGGTTTACAGGCAGGTGGCTTGAATATTAACAGGAAGCTCATGTGAATTGGGGACACAGTGTGAATGTGTGTGTATGCATGCGTGTAGACATTGAATATTCACCATTGAGCAACTTAACAGTGGCTGAGTTTTTTTTTCTTTTTACACGACTTCACTGTCCTGGAATGAACTGTTAAGCTCCCAGAAGACCTTTGACACTTGAAACCCCATGAAGTTGCTGGAGCTATGCTAACAACCTCGGTTTTTTTTTTTCTCCCTCTCTTCTATACCGCTGTGAGGAAGTTCAAACAAAAGGGACCTCGCCGTTTGACCCCACATAGAACAATTGAAAGTGTATGCGGATCACAATGTGTGTCTTCTTTCTGCTACTCCGCACTGGAACAATGCAGGCCTTATTGGCTGCGGCTTTTCACATCCCCACAAATACTGCCCTCAAGGAGAACTAAGAAAAACAACTGAAAGGATTAAGAGAAAGCAAAACAAACAGAAAGCTGAAACTGCATGTGGAAACATGCTCCGGTTGTCACAAAAAGCATTCGGTTGTGCAGGAATTGGTTTCACTTAGACCAGGGGTCTGCAACCTTTTTGACCAAAAGAGCCATTTTGCCCCCTTTTCCAACTTTTTTTTTGTCTGGAGCCGCAAAACATATTTGATAGCTTATAAAGTTGTATATATTGTTATATCAAAACTACAGTTTTTTATTATTTATTACATTATAGAAAACTGTTTACCTCTAATAATAAACAAAGAACTCTGATAAGGAGAATACAAAGAAATACACAGGCCTACTTTAAAATAAATTAAACACAGCACTTGGGGAGTCCTCTGCACATTTCAAGAAAATAAATATAATTAAAATTGACCCACTTTGAAATAAATAAAACATATAGCTGCACCCTAAAAAGAGTTAAAGGTAGGGTAGGTAAGAATGGAGAAACCAGCTCGAGTGCGCTAGAATTTGAAAGTACACAACCGAAAAAGATCTGCCCCTTCCTTCAGACTTCCTTACAGAGCCCCTCCTCCAACACACACAAACGCGCACATGACCAATGAGGGCACGAGATAAGTTTGTGCACGAGATGGAAGGCTGACAGGCAGGTAGGCCATCCAGTTATTTTAGCCGGGCCGGCTAAAATGATTGGTCGTGCTTTTTACAGCGCTACGGCTTCCACAGATGACATATTTGTATATATTTATTGTCAAAGCATTTAATGTATTCATTGCTATCGGGATGTTAAGAGCATTCATGGAATATAACAAAAAGTGTTTCTGAAGTGAATTATCTACCCCACCTTTAACTGATTGAATTATGACTGAAGATCGTCAGCTGTGCTCCTCTTCCGTTTTTTGCCTTGATACGTAAAGGCTGCAGCACCTTTGATAACTTCTCTCCACATATCAAACATACCGGTAAGCCAGCATCGTTTGCTGTGAAAGCAGATAACTCTGTCCACGCAGAATTAAACCCTCTGTGTTCCTCCGATACTTTTATTTTCTTTGATTTATCCAAAGTTCGCTCATCGAGCCGGGGGTCAGGTTATTCACCTGCAAGAAAAGGCGCTGGCGCGGGACCGTAGCAGGATGTGACGCATATGTTAGTTGACCTAATTAAAACCGTTTTATTTATGTTTCACAGTATCACCTCAAAATACAAGATACGAAACATTTTCAACCATGCAAGACAATTTAAATAGTCCTACAAATACTTTTATTTTATTTCCTTCTTATTTTTGTCTAAGCTCAAGGGAGCCAGAGCAGAGGGCTTAAAGAGCCGCATGCGGCTCGGGAGCCGCGGGTTGCCGACCCCTGACTTAGATGTATGCCTTTGAATTCATATTATTTCTCTAAAGTCCCTCCTTGTGACCCAACACCAGAGAGGATTTTCCCAAATTAAATCTAGACATTTTGGCCACCTGACACAGCCTGACTGATCAGGGGTTAATATGGTTTTGGGTGAAAAGGTCAAATATGTTGATCCCAGAAAGAAACTCAATTACCTTGTTTTTTAGGTTTTGGAATTCCTGGAAGAATTAGCTTATTTTAAATGAATCGTATTAGTCTTGCTTTCTAATGACAAAACTCTGACTTGGAGAGTTGTTTTGTATGTAATGTATACATTTATCAACATATATTTAAGAATGCAAAGTAATTTGAACTCTCCAGGGTCAGATATTTGTTTTATTATGATGAAAACCAGGATTAATTGATATTTTATAGCTGTCCAGAGATGATAATTAACCAATTTTACCATAATGAAAGTGACAGAAGGATAGGACGATGAGATACTGAAGTAATGCGGCTTAAATTGGATTTTAAATATGTATCTTGTTTTTACAAAAGGACGTTTTGCAAATGTTTGTTTTGTGTTTTTTCTTGTGTGTGTGATGTGTGTCTTGAACAAGTCTGGGGTGCAAGTCTTTTAATCAGATAATAACATGTTTAACAAATGTATTCTGGCCATTTCAATCCGGTCGTAGATGCAATTTCTCAACTCCAACTCCATCCTTGCTTCTCAAGTGGCTAATCGAAATGTAAACAATGTTTTTTCCGGGACATTTGTTTATCTGGATATCCGCTGGACAGAAAATTAACTCTGTCAGTCCGATAGTCGATGGGTTGAGAGATGATAATGACACTGACCTTTCCTTTTCCTGCACCAATGCAACAGGTAGAACATTCAGATCCATAGAGGAAGATTGAATTCAAGCAGGCACTGTTATGGCTTTCGTAAGAGTAAAGCAAATTGAATCTGCATCTTATCATGTAGGTGTCACTTTTAGTGGTATTCTCCACAGTGAGAAGCATGGTTGGCATTTCCTGCTAGATTTTCTGATAGTATGGGGAAAAAGGACACAACCCTATCAAAACCTGGAGCAGTGTGAGAATGACACTAGAAATCTGATAGCATGTTAAGTCAAGTAACAAAGGTCAAGTATCCAATAACAGTTCAGATCCTTACAGCCAAGACAAATCCATCTTGGTCCTTTGTGATAGCACCGCAGGTCGAGATTATTATAATCTTCCGTTAAGATTACATTCTCTTCACACCTTCACACGTAGTTAAAGTCACGTTGGGAGGTGTGAGGCTACACCCAAACCACAAGCACGAGTGCACATAGTGTTCTGTACACAATGACAATGAATAATGCATCTTAGGTCTGTAATTCTGATCACATGCCAACTGCTATAAATACATGCACTCAATGAAAACATGTTTGGATGCTATTGCTCAAGTCACATCAGGAGGTATACAAGGAATCACGTGTAAAATCCTCGGGACTGCACTCCATCTTCTGTAGAGAGCTCTCATTGATTGATTGAAACAGTTAATGATTATTTTTGGAGAGTCAGTTCTTTGAAGCTCGCATAAAGCAGATATGAAGTCATGGTTGCAGAAAAAATCTCCTACAATGAGTGCTTCAGAGATTTAGCAATGCATGCCTTTAACATTGCTTGATTTAAGATGGACATTAAAAAAGAAATGACGCAGCAGAACCAGATATATTGTTTATTTGAGTCTACAAATGATTTAACCTGGCACCTTCATTTGCCAAACAGCGACTCAATCGCAATCTGGCAAGAGTTTAAGGTGTTTTGCCAGCTAATGTAGCCTGGAGCGGCTAACCACAACCAGAGATTGGGAGCTGGCTACAGAGGTCTGGTAAGCTCACTCTTTTCTAACTCCAAATGTATGAACATGTTTATTTTGGACATGTTCTCTAACTAGTAACTTTTAAAATAAATCGCAATCAGCTGTAAAAAATCACTGCCAATCCGATCTGTGTCTCACCTCTGAGACATGTTTGAGTCCAACATTTCTCAGGTCTTCATATCGGTCTTCAAAGACAGTGTTACCATTCATTGCATTATTAACAGATACAGAAGAGAAAGGTATTGCCATTTTCACACCTGGAAATCACTGTTGAAAGGTTGTGTCTGCCAGTTGGCTTCAGAAACTAGAAACTATTTATAATCCTTTAATACAAACAAAACTGTATACAGCCTTAAATGTACTGCTAGCCTGGGGTAGATGAGGCAACACTAAACCACCAAGGTTTTACCAAGAAGGCGTAAACATCCAATTTCCTTTATCTTTAATCTTTGCCGCACAGGTTTCTGGTGAAGCACAATATGTAGGCCTCCTGACACACCCCTGTCTTTGCCAGTTATTGTTTATGCCACACACTCACATTTCCGGAGCTGTTAAAGTCGCACTTATCGTGTTAACCGCATTGCACGTAAACAGAAGATCTCATTAACCTTTTGTTCACCAGTAGTAAAGGGCTTAAAGGTCCCCTATTATAGTGTTTTTCATCAATACATTACAGGTCTCAGATATATATACGAAACATGTCTCTGAAGTGTTTGGCTCCAAACACCAAACAGATCATTGCAGCATCCCATAATCCCCTCTGTTTCAGCCCTGTTTCAAAAGTGCTGATTCTCTGTCTGTTACTTCAGATGAAAATAAGGAGCCACTCCCCACGCCCCTCTGAGAGATATTTGGTTACAAAGAACACAATGGTGCTCTAGGAGGAGATTCAGGTGATAAGGTGGGGGGGGGGTTACCTTGGTTGGTTACTGGCTAATGGTGACACAAGCCAAAACATCGTTATGACATCACAAAGTGGCCAAAATCTGATCAGCTCATTTTCAGACAGGTTTTTATATAAATGGATCAGGACAAAAAGAGAGAGAATCTTTGTTCCTGAAACTTTCAGAATCTCTTTACACAGAGGGGACACATGTTGATGTAGAAGAGACATGAACAAGTGGATTTTGCATAATAGGTGACCTTTAAGGAAAGATTTAAAAAGAATAGACTTCAGCAGACTGACCTCCTCGGACGCCCTCCAGAGGGTAGAAGAAGGCCACGAGCAGGTTCATGAGGACAGCCAGGTTGAAGGAGATGCTGCTCCAGAAGGACATGTTCCTGGAACACCAGTACAGGATGGGCTGAGCTGGAGAAGGGTGTTGAAATTCACACAGTCATTAACAGTGCAATACACCAAGCATAATGTATCTAATAACGTCACAGGAATTAGCAGTACATCACACGACTGATCTGTGTTTCACACCACAACATAATTCATTTCCTAGTCATTTTTAGTCAAATGGTTGTATAATTGATATTGATGATATTTTCTTTCATGATTGGCTTCGCAACTGTCTGTCATGTTTCAGCTACACTACTTATTTTCCATCTTTTATCAGCGAGACAAAGTTGAGTGCAGATTACTTTGATGTGAAAAAAAAGCATTACATTTCTGGTGAAACACAATAATCAAACAGAATCAGAAGAAGTCTGCATGGTGCCTTTCTCAGCAACTGTAAACAAAATAATTCACTTCTTTGTCATCTACTTAAGTACACAAAACCAATTGTCATGCACATTTCACACACAGCAAACACTTTCCACACGCACACACAGCCTACTCAGACCTTGGTCAGGAGATCAGTATCGCGCCAACGCTATTTTGAGCTGTTTATGAGAAAAGAAGAACTGCCAGGGGGGACTTTTAGCAAGTCACTACATTCATCACAAGTGCTTAGCATAACATAGCGGAACAATATGATCTACTGCTGTGATGATTCATTTAGAGAGGAGAGAGGTGATGATTGTTGTCACGTGAAATCACATTATACACAAACTGTCCTCCTTCAGGCCTGACCACGGGACGAGCCACAACACAGTGCTACTTCACAGCAGTAACTGACAGAATCAACAAGGGGTGCAAGGCTCTAAGGAAAACTCAACATAGAGTTTAGTCCTGTGCGACTGTACTATTAAAGGGTAGTGAGAAAACAAATGCTTAGTTTAAAATGTAGAAGACATATGATATTCCTCGTATACATTTTGAGAAGCTACAAGCTGCAAAAACTCCTTTCCGGTCCTGAGGAAAAGTTCAATCTGAAATAGGGTACACTGAGACAATGATCCGGACAAGATATCATGCTTTCTTCCGTTTGAAAAAGCCACACAACCTCCACGAATAACACCAAGTTAAACAATGCAACCTTTAAATGTTGACTTTATCAACATCCATCCATCCATCCATCCATCTTCTCCCGCTTATCCGTGGTCGGGTCGCGGGGGTAGCAGTTCCAGCAGAGCCCCAAACTTTCCTTTCCCTGGCCACATCAACCAGCTCTGACTGGGGGATCCCAAGGCGCTCCCAGGCCAGCGAAGAGATATAATCCCTCCACCTGGTCCTAGGTCTACCCCTCGGTCTCTTCCCAGCTGGACGTGCCTGGAACACCTCCCTAGGGAGGCGCCCAGGTGGCATCCTTACTAGGTGCCCGAACACCTAATAAGGAACGACTTTATCAATATAGTTAGCTAAAATAAATAATAGTTAGCAGTGCTAACCTTATGAGTTTGGGTAAGTTAGCTCGCTATGCTAATGGCGTTAGCAAAAATAAAGTATGGTTAAAAGCTTAAATAATTACATTTAGCTTTTTGACATTGTTTTGCTTGTTGATGATGTCCTGAAATTAGCAATAGTTTGCTTACAACATCAGCTTAGCTAGGTAACACTAGCAAAGTCTTAGGGTTAGTACAAGTGATTTGTTGCTTGACATAACATTAACTAAATGTATACGTTATAGTTACATCAAATATTATGGAGGTTGTTTGGTGTGTGTTACAATGTATTAGCTATATGCTCTGTTGGCAAGGTAGTGCAATACCTTGTCAATCTAGGGGGGTTTCCCCCTGAACACACATGATAACACACATGACTTTCCCACCATGGGTCCTATTGATGGAGATGGGTTCAGCGTGGGACAGGGTCTGAGCCTGGAGCTCTGCAGCACGATGCTATGGAACATTTCCCACATAATCTTTTTCTGGATCATCTGTGAACAGTTTCTCCTGTCTTATGTTGCCGATCCCTCACATGCTGACATGGGAGCTACTGTATCCCGTTTCCACTGAACTGCTTTGATGTTTCCTCAGTAAGGTTGAGCCTGCATGAGCTTTAAAAGTAAAAGATATGAAACTAATCATGACCTCAAACTGTCAGGTGGATAAAACAGATTGACCTATTAATCCTACTAAATTACAAATCGTAAGAACATCAAGAGTGAATCCTGATTTTCCCCTGTCATTTTACAGCTATCTTTGCTGTCAACGTTTACTGTTGACTGTCCTAATTTTGCTTATAAGACAGGAATACAAATAAAAAACGTCTATATCGTTCTCCAGACAAAACAAAGCATTCTACACGTGTGACCTCTTTACACCAGTTTCTCAATGCTTTACTGTTTGCAGCTCTAAATTCCCTTTATGACTAAAATGAGGGATTATGTAAAGGTTAATACTATACTACTTAATCCTGTCCGAAAACAATTAATTTGCCTTTACATGTTTCCAGAATTACAAAAATAAACGCAGTCATATCAGAATACAGGAACTATATGTTAATTATAAAAATGAGACAATCTCGTGAATGGGCTTGCAACAAAAGACGGTTGGTGTACCGAACACAACTACCGTGTTTATCATCCACTACATCACACTCAAACACATCATTCTCTCCTGGCTGAATAAAACATCTCTATAGAAAATATGTTGTCATGCAATCATGCCTTACATTAACTAACATTGTTACAGGTGTCACAGTAATTTATATAACGGTTCTTATCAAGGTGTACATGCTCTCTCCACTTCCACTCCTCCAGGGTTCAGAGTTAAGGGATCAGAGTGCAGCCCCTTTCTCACATTCACATTTTTAGAGTGAGTTACTGGTCTTTGTTTACAATTTATTGTGGTTTAGAGAAATGTGTTAATCCTGTTAGCTCATATGTATAAGCATTACAGATGGATTAGGCTTCGGTCGGCAGCGATGACGCAATTGGTAACCATTTGAAAAAACACAAACACAGCCTCGATGACAGATTTCTAGTTAAAGTGGACCTATCATGCTATATTTGAATAATATAGTGTAGGACCATACGCCATAAGGCATATTTATACTTTTTTTTTTTCAAAATACCAAACATCATGCATTTTAGCCATGCCTCATTTCGCTCAATTTGAAAAAAAATTGCTCTGTTTTTGCAAGGGCTGATTCAGTGAGAACAGCACCACCTACAGGCCTGGCATATGTACTACAGCGTCTCCAGCGCTTTCGAACGGCAATGGCCGTGGCTGTCTCCTCCTGATTGGTGGAGTTGGCCCAATAGCCGTAGCGCCACCGTCCTGACGTCAGGACAGTGTTCAAATCTGGATCAGTTTTTATCAGATCCGTTGCAGCCCCTTTTTTAGAGATTTGGGTATGGAGGAAAATAGAGAGGGTTGTGTTTTCTGACACTTGGTGAGTTCCCTGGAACACCGGGGACACATATTCATGTATAAAAGACGTACAAAAGTGAATTTTGCATGATAGGTCCCCTTTAACTTTAAACCAGGTGATGATAAATAGTTATACATTGTTATTATTAGTTAACATTTTTGAAGTCAAGTCAAGTTTTGGCCGTAGAAATCGCCTTTTGTTGATTTATGCAGCTTAACCGTGAGACTTTTCTGGTTTGTACAACTGACACATGAAATTAAACGTGCGAGACCTGAGGGCGTATCATCTGAATGCATGATTTGTTTTTGTCGTCATATTTTGAGAACCCGGAGTGCCGAGCACTGTGCGGGTGTTATTTTTGGCGTGTGATCTTTATCAAGGTTTTCCATGGTTCTCTCAATGTTTACGCCACAGAAATAGAAGTACAATGCTTTATATTCCCTGCCTTAGCTTTTTAATAACAAGTCTCCACTGCAGACACATGTGTCATAGGTGGCTAAAGCATTTTTATCTAATGATCACATTAGAGGTGTGGAGGAAGTTTGGGAAATGTTACTAAACCTTAAGTTGGCAAATTGCCAAAGTGACATCAGGGGAATTCTGCCTCCTCTTCCTCTTCACACAAGAATCCAAGGTCAGATGGGGTGAGTCATTTATATACAAACGATCAAAAGTGGAGGAAGATATATTTTGAAAGTAAAAGCAATAATACCACAGTGTAGAATTACTAGTTATTAATGGGCTGTTTTAAAGTTCAAAAATCAACTAAAGTACATTTTTTTATGATATGAATCTGCAAATAGTAAGTAAATGATCTATGTGAATCTGTGCTGTCTGTGCTGTTTTTCATCCTCACCCTGTTGCTGTTGAACTACTGAATTTCCCCACGTGGATTAATAAAGGTCCATCTTATCTTATCTTAAATGTACAATATTTGATACTAAATTGAAGTGGAGAAGAAGTATATATTGCTATAAAAATGGAAATACTCAAGTACCTCGAAACTGCACTTGATTACTGTACTTGAGTCAATGTAGTAAGTTACTTTCCAGCACTGCAAATGATCATCTTGTGGGTGATTTTTTCCTCTAACCTAATATTTATATATGTGAAAGAGCCTTTTGGAAGAGGGGGTTCCTGCAGGGATGAAACAGGACAGCGTGTAAACCATGAAACTACAGGATATAAAGAGTTGAGGAAATATACGCACAGGGAACCGTGTTTGCGTCTCCAGTTGCCTCTTGGGTGCCTCGCAGCTTCTTCTGCCAATTCATCTCATTGAAGAGATCCTCGGAGCTCAGGAAGAAGTCATTGATCTTACTGCCTTGCTCGTCGCGCTCCGTGGTGTAGTAAACACGCAGCTTGGACTCGTTTGTGAGGAACTCGCAGATGTTTGGCACGGGGAACACGATCTGCTCCATGGTGCGATCCAGACGGACAATCTGCAGCAAACCACAGAAACAGACAACACACACTCTCTGAGACCAAAACGTTATGAACACGTACTGTTCTCTTTAAAAACACGTGTTTACAGATAGTTTATTCAAGAGATCTTCCTTGTTATTGTCACATACTGTACAATACAAATAAAAGCACTGTTTCCTTTAGATGGAGGCTGATAAACTGTGCAAACAACGAAATAACAGAACAGTGTCAACAGTCAGCATTCCTCCTTTCAAGGAAAGCGTGCACAAATTCCAAAGGGAGATGGTGGACAGCACTTTTGGCATTTTTGAGACTTGAGAGCAGAGGCCTGTACTACGAAGCCGGATTGTCGCTTAGCGAGGTAACTTCAGGGTTAACTCTGGGTTTCCGGTCCTACGACGCTGGTTCACTTCTTAGCGGGCTAGATCTCCATGGTAACTTATGCTGAACGGCTAACCTGCTCCGGTTCCAGGATAAGAGATCAACTCAGTGAAAGCACCGCCTGCTGACCAATGTGTTACCAATATTAGTATTATTTTTAGTATTTTAATATTATTTTAGTATTATTTCAGGATTATTTTAATATTATTTTGGCATTTCCTGGAGTCGTGCGTTGTATGGGACACAGGCAATGGTCTTAAAACTTAGTTTTTTAAAAAAGAATAATAAATTCCTAATTGTGACAAACATGGTGAACTCCAATTGTTAAATATACACACTGCGGGATTTGATCAACCCCAGCAGGGCCTTCCTGGGGTGAGGGTGTATTGTGATAATGGCCGAAACACTCGATGAGCCCGAGGTCCACAACTGATGATGTGTCAAATACAATTATTTTTTATCTATAGTTTATTTGTTTTAAATTTAATATATTATAATTTTTTAACATAAGGTAGGAATTTAAAAATATAATTTAAAAATAATTCAGAATTTAATCTAATATTTTAACATAAGATAGGATAACTACAAAATAGATATATAGTACCTTATATAACATCTTCTTTCACTTTTTACCCCTGCGGTTTACTCTAAAACCCCTGATCCTTTACCCCCACCCCCCGTTTCCTTCTCCTGGTCTATGGGAACGGGTTACAGAGATGCTTAGACAGGCAGGGGAGTGCATTTACGTAGACACGTGGTGCCTCCTTACCTCTGTTCCTTACCCTGTATCCTAATGTTCACCCTAGTCTAAAGAGAAAGCATTCTTGTATGCCTTTTCATCTCTGTTTCGTACTGCTTTCTTCCTACCCCGTTTCCTCTAACTATTCTAGGAGAGTGCATTTACGTAGATACGTGGTGCCTCTCTGCTTATACTTTTGACTTTCTTTCCCTTTGGGGAGTGCAATTACGTGAAGGTTAGACACGTTGTGCCTCTTCATTTGTGTCCCTGTCCCCTTCTCATAATTTCCACCCTATTCTAAGGGGAAGCATTCATGCAATGTGGTGCCTTTTCATTTCAGCTTCTTACTTTGTATTTCTTCACCCCTTTCCCTCAAACTATTTTAGGAGAGTGCATTTACGTAGACACGTTGTGCCTCTCTTCCTCTGTTTCTTACTTCTCTTTTCCTACCCCTGTTCCTCAGACCTATCCTCAGGGAGTTGACACGTTGTGCCTTTCTAAGGGTCAAAGTTCATATGGCGAGGGATTCCTTTGAGCGACACGCGCCGGCCCGTGCCTTACCGTGGACTTCTAATAGAACTGCTCGGGTCTTGATAGATTGGGTGGGGAAGTTCAGGAGATATTTGTAGCTCAGTGTGCGGAGTTTGAAGCTATCTATTACAGGATAAAGGAAATACAGAAAAACTGCCGTTGCAGGAAAGACGGCCGGCAAAAATCAACCGACTGTGTGAACGTGAAAATTAATAGAATATCACCTCCCATCTTCAGAGCAATCTGACTATTATAATATTAGCGTTAAGAAAGCTTACTTAAATATCTGCCACAACATAAGTAACCGGATCAAAGTAACATTACGTACAGTCGGCGGCATCTTAGCGAGAGCACGTTTGTTTTGGGTTGGTTAAGCCAGATCACTCAAACATATCCAGGGTATGTTGAACTGGATTCGTAGTACAGGCCTCAGGCCAACAAACACCTCATCATATGTCTCGTGTCAATGCAAAAACATGTAGCAATTCCCCCGCAGCTGACGTCCTACAATTTATCTCACATAGTGTGTAGATAATTGCAGGGCGGCGTTTCTATTTTACTTTGGAGTGAGATTCAGATACGGTGTAGTCGGTGCATTTTTACAAGACTTGGGTTGACACCCCTTTTGGGAGGGGTTTCTGTCGTGTTGCTTTGTTTTGTTTTTGTGGGTTTGAACTTTGAGCAGTATGATTAACGAGGGAAGTGTGGCGAGAGAGTTGAGAGTTGGCTGCCCTGCAATAGCAACATTTTAATAATTTTTCGGTAAACCTTTACAATTTAAAAAGTGCTAAAACCTGAGGGAGCTTGCTGATATATATTCATTTTTTTCCTATGTGTTAAAACATGGATGTGCGGCATTAGAGCTTGTAAAAATGTCAATGTTTCACAAGAATTGGTAGCTGACAATTTCGATTCTTTTTCAGTAACACTTCAAAGTAAAAAAAGTACTAGGAAAGACAGCAGGATATCCTAAACGGCACAGCACACTACAGTTCAGGCACAGTCCTGTCCACTGACCTCAATCTGCGCCGTGTGTTTGGCGTAGAACTCCAGGGCCTCGTCGCCCTCTCCGTACGTTCCCCCCGGCTTCAGCATCGCCTGCAGCTCCTTGTTGTGACGCGCCAACTGAAAAGACAACAAACACCATCGAATCAATGATAAACAGATCCATCACATCATTATGATTATTATTAAAAAAACCTATCTTTTAATTTGGGTTAACTTTGAATTGTCACTAGTATCATTGTCCATGTTTTACTGTATTTTCTTTCTGTTTTGCTTTGATTTCACATTTTTCATTTTCTTTTTTAAATTGTTTTATTTTAACATATTATCACTGTATGGTTTATCTTGTTCTGTATTCATTTTAGTATTATTTTAATATTGTTGTTATGTTTTCTGTAAAGCACTTTGGGCTGCTTTGTGCATGAAAGGTGCTATACAAATAAAGTGTATTATTATTATATTATGCGCCGCTTTCCCCTTCTACTGCACTTTTCCTTGTACATGTGATGTTTTGGTGTTGTTGTTTGTTGTTGTTTGTTTCCGTTAACTGTCAAGTGGGAACAAAGTATTTTTTTGGACGTTTTTGTGTTTCTCTTATTTTCCTACGATACTGTTATGATTGGCTGTGAATAAGAAAATATGAAGGACAGACCATCTATTTCTATTTATAATTATAATTTTCTTCTCCCTGCTCCTTTTTGGGTATGGTGTGTTTATAGAGACATGTTTTGTAAATAATTGTTATACATTAAGTTGTGCATACCATGAACGAAACAAATAAAAATGAAATAAAGACTGTTATCAGAAGTGTTTGCCTTTCATGTGTTCACGCATGGTAACTTGTGCACGTGTCGCCTCTCTGAGCCAACACTGCCCCTACTTAACGTCCGGGTACAGTACGTGCTATTTATTCTTCCTGTGAATGCACAATGTTCCGTGCATTCAACCAAAAGGCTGCGGGGGGTGTATTGATAGCGGCTGTTGCACAACTATAATTGCAGTCGTTCCTTAAATCACGTTTTCAAAAAGACACTGTGGCTATTGAGCGCTGCAGAGCCTGAGGGCTACTGAAAGAGAGGAGATGAGTGTAGGGTGGCAGAAGTATCACATGTCTTTAGCTGCCACAGGAAACAACACACTTACAGTAACGCCACTGTAAATGCATTTATGCTCTGCATCATGTTGCCATGCATGTGCTACTGAATTAACACACTTCCTCGCTGATTTTACAGAAAGTTAGTGGCTTACCTGATGCGCTAAGATGTAGATATTATGCCCGACGTTGCGTGGGGAGGCAGCGTGCTCATCCTCTCCGTCCTCCCCCTCCTGCGGCTCCTCCACCTCGATCTCCCCCTGCATGTAGGCCTTTTTGATCACTTCCACCTGCGAGAAAACACACCGTCACATAACATCCATTAGAGTGTAATAGTGATTTGAATGATATCACACGCAGCAGCTCTCATGTTGTATTTGGTTCATATCTCTCTGGGTTTTGTGTCATGTTGTAATTGTTTCTGTCTCTCTGTGTTTTGAGTTGTGTGTGTCTTTGTAGTTGTTTCATGTCTCTTTGCTGTATTTTCTGTTTCTTTGTATTTGATTTGCATATTTTTTGTATATTTCTGTTCGTTTGCATTTGGTTGTAGTTGTTTTGTCTCTGTGGTAATTGTTAGGGCTGTTCCAGGTTGGCACATGACTCTCTGTAGTTTTCTCATGTCTCTTTGTTATCATTTTGTGTCCCTTTGTAGGTGTTTCGTCTCAGTTTGTCGTCATTTTTGTTGTTTTGCGCCTTTTAAAGACTCTTTGTAGTCTTTTCCTGTTTCGTCTTAGTCGTTTAATCTCTCATGTTTTGTCTCTTTGAAGTTGGTTTAATTTTCTTTAGTCGTATGTTTTCGTTTATCAGTTTGTTTGTGGTCCTTTTGCCCGTTCCTGGTTGGAAAGTTATCCCTAATACTTACAGCCCCTTGGCCTCTGCCCGGACCCTTTTAGTAATCCATCCATGAAGACCTTGTTCTCACACATGTATGTACTGATATGTATAATCCTTTACTGTCAGGGTAATATCATTGTGTTTTATTAAAAGGTCTCATTTATTTAGAACCCAACAAAACAGAAAATAGGGCTTTGTGACCTGATACTGTAGGAAGTTTCAAAAACAGATCCTTACAGGATATGTGAAGGATAATACACACTGTCACAAAACATCCATGTAAGACTCAGAAATGTATTTGCATGATGTCTCACGCACCAGCTCTTTGGGCCTCATGTTGTACAGGATCCTCTCTGCGTTCTCGCTGTCATGGCGACTCTCCATAATTGCAAGAAGGAGCTTGGAGGCATTATTCTAGGAAAAGATGAGAGCACAGATAAGAGCACAAACAGAATCAGGTTCATTTATTTCCTAACAGGGGAATACATTTATCACCATTAAAGATGGAAATCTAATATGTAAATATTCTTACTTTTCCCTGTGGGCTTGTTATGTAATTCATAATGGATTACTTAGTTGATCATGTGTTGAAATGAAATATTTGGCAGACTTTATTTATGTCAACACCGTTTCATTTCCTGTAATTACTTGATCATATCTCAATAATTATGTTTCCAGTAATGTAACTGCCCAATTCAATGATTCATTTCTCCATTTAAAGGTGGGGTAGGTAAGTTTGAGAAACCGGCTCGAGATCGCTAGAATTTGAAAATACACAACCGGAGAAAATCTGCCACTTCCTTATAGAGCCCCTCCTCCAACACACACGAACGCGCACATGACCAATGAGGGCACGAGATAAGTTTGTGCCCCGATGGAAGGCTGACAGGCAGGTAGGCCATCCAGTTATTTTAGCCGGGCCGGCTAAAATGATTGGTCGTACTTTTTACCGTACTACGGCTTCCACAGATGACATTTTTTTATGGATTTTTTGTCAAAGCACTTAAGATATTCATTGCTATCGGGATGTTAAGAGCATTCCATGGAATATAACAAAAAGTGTATCTCGAGCCGGTTTCTCAAACTTACCTACCCCACCTTTAAATGTCACTTTTGATATTCGAATCTCTCACTAATTTTAAGAAATATCTCAAGAGACTAAAACGCCCCTTGTGTAACATTTTTGAAGTGTTTATCTTCCCCCTTTAATCAATAATGACTCACTTTGAGCTCCAGCACCAGATCCATCCTCTTCTTGCCGAGGGGGTTGATGTCATTGAGGATGAGAGCGATGATGATGTCAATGCCATTGCATTCATGAGTGGCAATGCAGTTCTGAGGAAGAAGGAAAACAAGTTCAAATGTGGACTGAAAAAGTTGTATTAAAGGGGCCCGATTATGCTTATTTTCAGGTTGATATTTGTATCTCTACTGTGACGTAAATAAACTCCCCTGTTCTTGGGATTTTAGCCTTTGCCGACCATTTACATGCACAAAAACCTATATAACACACTACAATTAAGGGAAAAGCATTACAGGGCCAGGAGTCACATTGACTTCTGTTTTTAGACAGTAAACACAATCTGTATTTTATTTACCAAAAGGTCGAAATCTTAAAGTGTTTAGCTTTTCAGAATTTGAATATCTATCAGACAATTATATATTTAATTAACATGCCTTTTCCCCAAAAGAGCTACAGTCAGTCATGAATATTTGGCTTTGAAGTCACCAGACAGATATTTTGCCAACAATATGCCACACCACAAAATGAAAAATGGCTTGTGGCCACAAAATAGTTTGGGGCAAATATGCTGGTACCATTTAACAAAGACACTTAACAGAGTTTAAAGTAATGCTCTTCCTTTTAAGAACAAAGAGTTTAGTCTAACCCTAACCCTTCTAGCTGTTTGAAGGAACTGAAATCAATTCAAACGGCGACTGCTTTTAGCCACTTGCTCGTTAAGTTATGCCAGCTTCACGCTTGCAATAAAATGAGCCCACGGCGGCTCGAACAGAGGATGCCATCGTGATGTGAGAAGAACCAAGCCATGCTAATCTGTACCAAAGAACAAACACAGGCAAACAGCCCAAAGAGAAATACTGAAGGATAATTAAAGAAAAAACCTAAAAAACCAGCAGCACTTAAACAAAAAGGTCACTTTGATATAAACTGAGGATTATTATCTCTGCCAGGTAAACCTTTATGGGATCATGCGTTTGGTCGCCTGTGTGTAATTTGTGTGTCCGCAATTACTTTGCATAATACTACTATACGCTGAACGACCTCTCATGGGTGATTCAAATGTTTCAAAACTGATTGTGTTTACTGTTGTATAGCCTGTATATAGAAGGGGCTACGAGTGTTTAACAACAGCGTCATAATCATGAGGACTTTCGGGTTCAGCCGGGCTGAAAACTAGCCTAAACTGGTCTAAACTGGTCTAAACTGGTCTGTTTTAGACCACATTTTTTGTGGCTCAAAACGTTTTCTTTTCAATTTAAACAGTAGCATCTGCTGACTAATTATTTACCATCGTATGATTCACTATATTCGGCAGCAATACAAGATGAATAATCCTCCCCTAACCCTAACCCTAAAAGTACTTATTTTGTGAAACGGCCCATTTTTAAATAATAAAGGATTATGATTGTTGATGCATTATTGTGTTTGTCCTAGCTTGTGAAGGTAGAGCTAGTTTGAATTGCTTTGTCTACGGCTGCTGGATATTTTAACCCATAATTATATGTCAATTTGTTTATTTATTAGTTGATATTTATATTTTTGGCTAATTATCTGAATCGGTAAAGAAACTAAAGCTGTCATATAAATGTAGTGGAGTAAAAAGTACAATATTGGCTTCCCAACTGTAGTGGAGTAGAAGTCTAAAGTAGCATAACATTAAAATAATAAGTACAAGCACCTCAATATTGTACAGTTCTTGAGTCAATGTACTTTATTATATTCCACCACTGGTTAAGGGCGTCTGTGTTTGCTTGCATGTTCGTGTTATTTTGTATTGATTGTTGTGCTTTTATCTTAATGTGTGCATATGTATAAATGTGTCTGTTGATTGTGTATTTATATATAGGATATACATATTTTATACATATTGTAAGGAATAAAATCAATATATATGTGGCGTAACTTTAAATTAATAACACTGTTTTATTCTGTAACCGGATGTTCACGACATTGTCGACACACTCGACTTCTGGTCTGTTCAGACGGTGTTTGTAGCATTAGCATGTAGCTAATATTATTTTGTGTACGTGAATATAAGGAGAATGACACGTGGTGTTGCACACTAAACACACTGTCTTCCACTCTCACTTATTGACGCTGCAATACTATTATTAGGGAATGTTTAGATGACCAACAGATATTAGAAGATTGTAAAACATCAGAAAACGACAGGACGTGCCTTGGACCCGCCCCCGTCGACGCTAAGCAAATAGGAGAAGACTACAGATGATAAATACGTGACACAAACAGGAAGTCGCTCTCTTTTTCCAGCCGTCCATCACAGAGACTGGAGGGAGCACACTCGGGCCTGAGTCACTCATTGCAAATTCATTGTATCATTGTACCATTGTTTTATTAAACGCTCTTTTCAACTAATCCTAAAATCAGATCGTAGAAAACCCAACAATATTTTTATATATATTTGTATTTTTGTATTCCAGATTGTGGGAAACGGCATTTCGATCTCTCAATAAAGTTGACTTTGACTTGACTGTGATGTTCTGTGTCCCTCCTCACCTGGTTCTCGTGGCAGGGCCCCTGGCAGTACTCCGTCAGGCTCTCCACCGTCTGGTTGATGAGTCCTACGTTCTTCTCGTTGATATAAAGTCCCAGCAGCCCCAGCCCCCCTGTGGTGCTCCCACAGATACAGTCCAGGAACTGAAGAGTCTCACACACCAGGTTATAGTTGTTCTTGTTGTTCTGGTTGCGCAGAAAGTTCTGGAAGTGGATGGAGAAAGAGTATACCGTAATTAGGCATATCCCTTTTCTCAGATAACCATGTTAGTGCTTTTGATTTGGGATGAGTCATCCTCCAAGCTTAGGGAATTTAAAACATTTCTTCCAGACATTTTGACTTAATATATTATATATAATATATAAAATGTCATGGAGCTCATTATAATGCATGTAAGACCAGGAGGGTTATTTTACCCTCGTTACCGTTACAATTACTATATACCTGTACAAAAATGTAATCAGTAACCCAATCTAAGTATAAAAGTATATATAATAATAAAAGAGTAATATGATTAATTTCCATTTCATTTCGATAAGCTCAATACCAAACGCAATGCAAATAAATAAAGAAAAAATGTCAATAAGATGTTTTTTTTTACGTGTATTTTTATATGTATTATGTAAGACAACAAAACAATGTGAGTTTAGTGTTTTAGTTTAAAATATGAATTCAAAGCAAACAGTATTTTGGTTTTAATAAATCAGGTGACCACCTACTGCATGAGAAAATACATTTTAAATAAAGCAGAATGAAAGTAGTCTTAATGAAAACCAAAAAGGAAAATCAGGCAGTACGTCTACCTGTAAAACATATTTTTTGATGCATTGTAATCCTGCAAGTAATCCCCGTTTTTGAAAGAAAAGTTTATTCTTACTTTAACTGTTAAGGATTACAGTTACTTTTTTTGTATCCTGCTTACGTATTCCAGTTACATTTAACCCGTTACTCCCCCAAGTGTAAGACATTACAGCAGCTAAAATATTACTCCATGTCTTTGCAAGCAACAGAAACATTTCAGTGAATTGATCATATGTGCTGCATTGCTGGCAGGAAACCAATATCTTACACCCACGCTGGGTCAGAAATGGACGAGACAGAGCGGCTCGGCACGGCGCTGACTATCATTAAACCCTGCCCGGGTGAGAAGTGCAAACTGAATCAGTGCAAGAAGGAAGTCTCCTGTCTGGGTCTGCCGGAGCTACAGCCATTACTTCACAACAACACACTCCTCATAGCGAAACCAGACCAAGACGTACCAGATATGGAAACAGCTGCATCAGGAAGTTCTGCAAATGGTGCCTTATTTTCTGACACGGTTTCGTTTCTGTATAACCGAGTGTGGTGATTCAGAACACAGGTCAGGAAATGTCATGGGGCGGCGGGGGTTTAGGCAAAACAAACAGAAACAAAACAACAAACGGGTCGTTGCGATGGCCCACCTGCAGGTCTCTGTTGTGGTTCTCGCAGAGCAGCTGCATGAGGCGCAGGATGGGCTGCATGATGGTGATGATGACGCTCATCTCTCCCTCCTCCTGGCTCTTGTCGGCCGGCGGGACGGGGGTGCCGTCGGCGGCCGCTTGGTTCTCTTCGGCTTCGGCCTCGCGGCGGTACGTGGTGAAGGCCTTCTTGGTGACGACGGTGGCCTCCACCAGCTGCTCCTTCACCTCCTCTGTCACCACGGCAACCACCGGCACGTCTTTGACTAACCGCAGACAGAGGAGAGTCAAACACAGACCATTGGAGATGAGACACAAAACCCCTTGTGGGCCCCACCGCCTCTATTACTGTACATAGGAGCAAGACACATGTGAACTTAAGTGTTATTGGGGCAGTTGTTGTTGTGGTTTTGTGTGTCTTTGTAGTTGTTTGTGTCTCTTTTTTAGTTAAGTGTCTATTTGTAGTTGTGTTACGTCTAATTTGAGTTGAGTTTGTGGTCATTTTGTGTCACTTTGTGATCGTTTATCCTCTTTTCATGTTGTGTCCCTCACACTTAGAGCTCCTAGGCCTGTGCCCTATGGACCCTTTCAGTATTTGAAATTGAAAAGACACAAATGTCTGTACAGAGTCATTACATTTTTTCTACGCTTTTTTTCATAGGAAATGTGACCTAGATTTATTTATATGAATGATTCATTTGCCAACATTTCAGACGAATAGGGCTCTATGACATGTTACTGTAAGAGGTTTATAAAATATATGTCTAAAGACACACACAGAAGACGACAGAGGTTTATTTTCAAGTGTGATGATTTCATGTGACCCTTTGGAATACGATCTCCCATTTCCAGTCGGTGGTAATCTCCTGACCTCTCACCTTTATTGCGTGATGGCGTGTCTTTGTCTGGCGGCTCCTCTTCCTTCTTCTTGCTGCCGAGGTCGCTGGTGTTGACCGACACCGTGGCTTTGATCTCCTGCTGCGCCAGCTTCATGCGCTCATAAAACACCTTGAAGAATTTTTCTGACTTATTGTCCCCCGTTAAACGTTGGAAGAAAGATTTCTGGAGAAGAATAAGAAAGTAGAGCATGTGAGATGTTCATTTTACTCCAATTACTCCACCTTTTTTGTCTTGCACTAGAGATACTAGTACTCAACTCTTTTTGATCCCTTATTCATAAAAAAAAAAAAAAAAACTAATGTTATGTCAAAATGCTAATTCAAGTTGGATACCAGCATTTCTTTTATTCTCCTTAATCAAAGAGCAAGGTCTTGAAGATCAAAGGGCATTTTTTATTAAATAACTGCCACTTCTTATCATTGTGTCTTGTAAGGTTTCTACACCGTGTTGACAGCCAGAGGTTCAGTTAGAGGCAGTTACATAAGCCTCCGCTCACCGTAAAAACCTTCTGAAAAGGCCGCCCTGGGCTCACCTGATTTTTGGGATATTGACATGCAGCCAAACTCAAATACATGCACCGACAAAGACAGAACTACACACCCTGCAGAGGACACACTACTGTAAATGCACAGAAACAAAGTGCCAATGCGACGCAGCTGAATAAACGTCTTGATATGATTTGCCTAATTTCCGTTGCAGTAAAATGTTATGTGGTTGCACTACAATACACATTTCTGCTTTTATGGGTTTTTGGACTATGCAACAATTCAGCATGAGTAAGATGCTTGCTGAATTACACAAATGGCAATCTTGTCAGTAAGCCTCATGTGCATGGAGCTGTTGTTTTTCTGCAACAGGCTCATATGTTCTGTTCCATTTTCCCTCTCCACAATCCCTCCTTACATAAGACCTGTAATCAGCCGAGTGGTTACAGTGAGGGCACACAGCGCCACAGCTATAAACGCTGTTACATCAGCCTGTGCACAGCCGAGGAGAGAGTGAGAGGAGAAGGGAGAAAGGAAAACCCTACCCTGCTTTTCAGCGCCAGAACAGAATGAAAGGAGTGTGTGGTGTGGGAGCGAGGAGGGAGGGATGGTCCCAAAATGGCAGGAGAGGTGTGTGTGTGTGTGTGTGTGTGTGTGTGTGTGTGTGTGTGTGTGTGTGTGTGTGTGTGTGTGTGTGTGTGTGTGTGTGTGTGTGTGTGTGTGTAGGGGGGTTTGATGCAAGCAGGAGATATCACAAACATAGATTCTGGGGCTGTGTTGAAAGCATGTTACATAAGATATCCAGGTTTAGCTGAACTCAGATACGTTTCTAAAAGAGAGAAAAGACCTGCATGAGGAATGACTTTAGCTGCATAGAAATGATTTGATACCGTAACAACCTATTTAGTGAGAATCTGCAGATCAAATCACCTGACAGGTCCCAAGGGTTGCAGTGCACTTAATGCATTAGGCAAATCCGAGTTGTTTTCCTTCTCTTTGTTATGCAACAGTTTCTTCCCGCTTGTCTTGCAAGCTGTTAACATCGTGTTGTTGACAAGATAGGCTCATTCGCTGATAGTGATCTGATTAAGAGACAGCAGTGGACTTATGCAACCGGGCTGACTTCTGCAGACAACAGACTACTGCAACTCCCTCCTGGCTGGTCTACCTGCATGTGCCATCCGACCTCTGCAGCTCATCCAGAATGCAGCGGCTCGTCTGGTCTTCAACCTTCCTAAATTCTCCCACACCACACCGCTCCTCCGCTCCCTTCACTGGCTTCCAGTAACTGCTAGAATCCACTTCAAGACACTGGTACTAGCGTGAATGGATCTGGCCCTTCCTACATCCAGGACATGGTTAAACCATACACCCCAGCACGTGCACTCCGCTCTGCATCGGCCAAACGGCTCGCTGCACCCTCACTGCGAGGGGGACCCAAGTTCCCATCAGCAAAAACACGTCGGTTTGCAATCCTGGCTCCAAAATGGTGGAATGAGCTCCCCATTGACATCAGGACAGCAGAAAGCTTACACATCTTCCGGCGCAGACTAAAAACTCACCTCTTTCGACTCCACTTCGAGCAATAAAAGTACTAACAAAGTACTTATATACTATCAAAGCACTTATATACTAACAAAGGACTGGCTTATCTAAAGCCTGTTGAGTAGCACTTGAAATGTTTTGGCTCTATGAAACCTGATGTACTTATATGATTCTGTTTTCTTCAAGTTTGTATCTTCTTGGTCGAATGCACTTATTGTAAGTCGCTTTGGATAAAAGCGTCAGCTAAATGTAATGTAATGTAATAATGTAATGTAACAGCTCCAGGACAGCAGCTTTACAAGGTTACCGTATTAAATAAAACTCATGACTGCGGCCGTAAAAACTCAATTTCTTTACTGATCGCAATCATCTCGTCAATACTTCTCTGTTATATATGCACAGAAACAGCATGCAACTGTTGCCCCGTGCTTTGCTACCAGTCAGTTTTTGATATTGGAAGTGATCTGGTATCTATTGGTAGTCTGAGAAGTATTGATCAATCATGTTGAATTTAGCTAAAACATAAGCACAAAATAGATGGAACAAAAATGCCCAAATGCAAATTCTGATACCGTCGGCCATCAACTGATGATAATGTTCTTATTAGCCTTAAAAGTTTAATGTAAATGTAATTTCTTAAAGCAAGGTACTGAAAGAAATGAGTACCAGTGGGACGGGAAGATGCACTTTCCTACACAAGGAAACCTGTTTCATCTTTGATAACAACCTGTTTGAGCAATCCAATTTACCCTTAACTTCTCCCCATTGAGTCATTCTGCAAAGGAAATGGTCAGTAAGCCAATCAGCCGCAGCTCTCGCCCTGAGACAGCTTAGCCTTGTACATGTCTCACTACAGAGTCATTAAGCCTCCTGGGAGCTGTGCTGATCCTGTCAGTCATGTTCGGCACATTATGTTGACGTCTCCTTTTCTACAGATTCAACATGGTGGCCTCCTTCCTGATTATTCTGCTTTCCTCCTGTTTTTATTCCCCTCTCCCTGGCTGTCAGCTGCCAAACCGCTCCTGGCATCAACACGTGCCGCTTACGTAAGGCCTGTTTACACCAGCAGCTCCCTCTTTTCTATTTTTTTATCCGTCTCCCCCTCTCGCCTTTCTAGCCTGACACCTTGGTGAGTGACAAAGCCATCTCTGTGCTCATTGGAGGGCTTTCAATGGCACACTCTGCCACCAGCGGTAACCACGGAGATTCAGTCAGACAGAGAGGTTTAAATGAAAGTGAAATGCACGAGTGAGTGTGTGTTCACAAGATAATCTGCAGGCAACGAGCCAAGAAACGTCAAATGAGTTCAGCAACAACAACAAGAGTGTAAATTCACTGATGCCACTAAAAGGCTGCACTTTTGAAGGGGATTGAAGTCATTAAACTTCTAAAAACTTTTTTAAAAGAATACCCTGCCCACTTTGTAGTTAGAAGAGTGCTGGTTAGCAGAGATGGGAGAAGTACATAGACTTGTACTTCAGTAAAAGTAGAAGTACCAGAGTGTAGGAATACTCTGTTACAAGTAAAAGTACTGTATTCAAAATGTTACTCAAGTATAACAGTATTAGCATCAAATTATACTTAAAGTAACACAAGTAAAAGTACTATTTATGCACATTGGCCCAATATAAATTACATGTTTATATTACAATGATTGATCATTAAAGTGTTATCCAAGCTAGTAAAGGTGCAGCTAGTTTGAATGACTGTGTATACTGCAGGGTAGCTTGTAAATGTTACTCAAGGTGAAATTAAAGTATTTTTTAAGTGTTGATTATATTTCACATCATCAATTTATATTTGCAAATCAACTAAAGGTAGCCTATTAAATAAATGTAGTTGAGTAAAAGTACATGATTTACCACTGAGTAAGTATCAAACTCAAATAAAAAAAATAAAAAAAATACTCAAGTAAAGTACAAGTCCCTCAAAAATTGCACTTAAGTTCAGTACTTGAGTAAATGTAATTAGTTTCTTTACACCACTAATGGTAAGTTGATGACACTGATGCCTGGAAACCCACTTTGCAGGAGCTTTTTAAAGCTTTCCAAGTAGAAGCAGTAAAGTGAACATGAACCGTGCAGAGGTAGGTGTGGTGGAGGGGGGGGGGGGGGGGGGGGGGGTAAATCACAGGCTGAGGGTATCAGGCGTGCCACAACAAGCCCGGTGAGTCAGAGCGGTGGCACCTGTTTGGTCCTGTGACAGCTCAGGATCATCAAGACAGTGGAGATGGATGGTGGGCTGGGAGGTGCGGATCTACCCTTTTTTTTCTTTCTCTCTTACATAAACACACACAAACACACACTCTCTCAAAGGGGGCTGTTTTTGGAACAAGCTCTGTAGTTTCTAAAAATATCCAGGAGTGTGTACGTGTCGGTGTGTGTGCTAATGGAGTGCACAGATGAGTATGCAACAGAGTAGTTTTAGGGCTATGATACAGTCTGAGGGCCTGGTGTCTGCTTGAGTTTCACTATAAGTGTCAGAGTGTGCTGCTTATCGCTGAACAACAACCTGCAGGGTGTGAGCCGACGTGTTAGACAACATGAAGGCTTGTCTATGATGATAGATGCAGGCGTGGTTTATATATGATTAAAACAGGTACAGTAGGTCATTAATCATATATGATAAAGATTAGCATATTTGCATCATTGTATAACTTCCTTGTCAGATTTCTTTGTAAGAATTGTTGTTGTGTTAAAACCCTGATACCAAGTCTTGTGTTTCTATGTTACGTATTAAGAAAAGGAGCTTCACCTAAAACATGCAATGAGCTAGGACATGCTAAGTGAATAGAATAATACATTTTTTCAGTGTATGGGCAGATGCTTAGATGATGAAATAAAAAAGCCTAAGTTAAAACCAAGTATTTCATTAACTACAATTATTTTTGACCCACTTGTGAATTAGTATTCAGGTAGGCTAAAATAAGGAAAGGGCTAGCAGCACCCAATAATGCAGTAACTTCACTAATAATGTAATACAATGTCCTGACTGATGATTTTAGTTTAATGCATATTTTTCTGATAATCATAGACTGTAAATAGGAAGTGGACTTAGTAACCCTGCAGCCCCCTAATGGTTTGTGCACTAGGGTTTCTATGGCATCTAATTGTAGTCTGGCCGTCGCCATCTTGGCTTTTTGACACAAAGAAGGAACAACAAGAGGGTGGAGTTCAGTACAATCACACTTCTATGAACTTAAAATGAACTCCTGTGAAATGGATAAAGTCCTAAGGCAAAAACAGTGTGCTTTTGACTTGTCAATCACAGGGTAGCCCCGCCTTAAAATATATCCTTGTTGTCTATTTTAGTCTAAATTGGACTATAATGCACCAAATACTATATTTATGCTAACTGCATTTCATTGTCTCAGTACTTGTACGCTGTGCAATGACAATAAAGATGAATCTTATCTAATCTAAATGTGAGGAAAACTTGCGATTGAGACCATAAACTCATTCGGAAAAAGATTGACTAGCTATCTAGGCCATGTTTGCAAAAATGAAATTACTGTCAAATAATAATCTTTCAGGAGGCATGGCACTAACAGTATTATTAATGTGGTATACTTTCACACTTTCTGAGAAGCGTTATCCATCGCAATATGACATCGCCAGTATAAAACCCCCCAGAAATTAATGTTATTATGCTATCAGTGATTGCATTTTTTTACATTATTGGTCAAGTAATTCCATTATTTAGTTTTATTACATTTTCGATCAGGTCGAGTGTACATTTTATCACGTTTTCAGGAAGTATCTATTTATTTTGGCAGGCTGATAAACATGTCTGTGGAGGGAATTAGTGGTGGCCTGTTTAGTGTGTTTCCCTCAAACATCATGTAGGGGGAAAGCCAGGTAACAGTGTGTATCCTTACCCGTCCCTTTATGTATTCACTAACACAGTTACCGCCATATCAGGTCCAACTCCGTAGAGCTCTGGATAAATTTATCTTAAAGCTACCCAACTGCTCTATCTTTCTCTCCTCCGCTCAATTTTCCAAGAAATGTTGTCGGCTTGGCTACGACCCTGGATAACCTCAAAAACAAATAAACAAGTCTGCTTACAGAAACCTGTGAGCTTGTTTTTGTCCTGCTTTCATTAAGACAACAAGAAACCTTCTGTCCCAAAAAGGGGGCAAGGCGGCCTGTCGTTATGTAACACAGGGAAATATGGTGCATCTGCTGATATGTTGTAAATTCACTCTGGACCATGATTGTTCAACAAAGCTCACTTGTCCCTGCGCCATGCCGAAAGAAGGAGAAAAACACCTTACTTGAATCCTGAAACAAGAAGCTTCTTTATAGCCGTGTTTCTTTCAAGCCGATAAACTGATGCAGCGTCCTCATCAAGTGCACTTTGAGGTTATTTTCAACAAGCACAGGTAAAGTTGAAAAACGTTTTACCTGTGCTGTTAGAAGTTGAGATATGTATTGCCATTTCTCTGTCTATTTGCAAATAACAAGGTGCTTTTTACCAAGAAAGCCAAAGACTGCAGGTTTTATTCCCCAGTGTACTGCAAACCAGGCCCAGGTTGACCCCTGTTGAGCATCTTTTGTCATTTAAATATGTATTTTTTTTAAATGTATGTAATAACTGGGTGTATTTAGCTATGTTTTATTTCCTGTACACACACAAAATGTTGGACTTTTGTTCACCCTGAAGTTATTTTTAAATGTTTTTCCATTTTACCTTTGAGGTTTTTGCTCGTGCATTAAAAGTGTTTAATGACAGAGGGTGTTATACAGTATTCTGTATAGTCCGTAAAACGCCCTTAGACAAATGTATAATTTGTGATATTGGGCTTTATAAATACAATTTGATTTAATAGTTTTGACTAACAAATGACACTACGGATAAAAACTGATTAGCCCCCAAGCTAGCAACAACAACAACAAGCTTTTTGAACATCAAAGCATGTAAACATGTCACAGTAGAGGCACTACATACAAATATGAACCTTAAAAATCAGCATAATAGGGCCCCTTTAAGGTGAACTGACTTTGAATGTGTTCCAGCTATTTGAAGGTAAAAAGTGAACACCCACCGAACAACTGACAGGGTCGCCAGGCTTTACAGCTTTACTGGAGGATAACCTGAATTGAAACATGATAACATTTGCTCCAAGAAGACAAAGAGCTTTGCAAATATTAGGCTGGGGGGCACAAAACAAAACAAAACAAAACAGTTCCACGCCCAGTTCAAAGTGCACGCCCCAGGCTACTCTCAGCAGTGGACACTGACCATCTGACCTAAAAGAAAGGTCCGTTGCAACAACAAATGAAGTCGATAAGTCACCTGAGATGATCTGTCCTAAGGGAGGCCACAGGGAGAGACTTCTCCTCAGATAGCACTACTGAAATATATTGGAACTCTCTGGAGGCCTGTGGGGATTTACGCCTTTTATTGCCATCTTTTAACCAGCGAAGCATGGTGTTGACAGTCTGAATGTTTGAAGGCCTCGGGCTCTGGCCTCCGTTAACCCCGGCAGAGAGGCCGGGAGCAGCTTACATAACAGGAGTCAGGCGAGTACGAGAGAGAGACAATTAACTAATGACGTGTTTCAGTAAATCACACTTTGAGGTAATTATGCTCACACAAACAACAGACTGTAAAATGCTGCCAAACAACAAGTTTAACCGTGCAGTTATTAAAAGCACTTTTTTTTTATTTAGAAAGAAATCTTCATCATGATCAGTTAGCTTAACTGCTAGTTATGGATTTAAGCACCTGAAAATAGTGCACCCGTTTCTATTAATCAAAAATGAGTGACAATCAGAATCGGAATAGATCAGAGGACTCAGACATATTCCCACCCTAAATAACAACACTATCCAAATAGGGGAGTATTATGCAACAAGACGGTTTAAGCAACACAACACAAAAGTGCACACACACACAAACCACAAAACCAGACTCCACTGAAAGACGGCTTCCAAGCAGCTCGCATTGGTCACAAATACGTGCATGCACGTTTTCTAGTATGTAGACACACGAGCCCGCATGCACATTTGTCTGCAAAGCTGAAGTAATGCAGTTGCAAACACAGCGGCTCTCTACCTGTCGCTGGGAGGTCTGCAAAGAGTTGCCTTGGCAACCCCTGTCTGGCTGTGGGGAGGCGATGTCGCATTTTGTCCGCACAGATTTGACCTCGGAGAGACTACGGTTCCTCTTCCTCTCTGACTTCCCTTTCTCCTCCACATGGCCTTAACTGACTTTTACGCCAAAACTTAAAGTGTTAATAAGTGCAAAACATTGAGATGCTATCTGCAACCGATTGTGAAACCCTAACACTAACCACAACGTTAGTTTTTTAAATGTACCCATTGCTGTACTGTCAACAGAGTACTTTCCTTTTTCCTACTCCAAGTCCTCCTTGGCCACTTATTTTTTCTGCCTTTGGTGGTGGAGCTCCAGGGGAATAACTTAAATTCTTTGCAGCACAGCTTTGAACCCTTGAGATAAAATCTTCCTGTTGAGATTCTGCTCATGCCTCTGTAAAGAAAAAGCTGTCAGGAGTCCCATTTAATTGCAGGCTGGACGTGTGAGTGTTGGACCTCATTAACACTTTCCTCTGCACCACTTGTGCTTTGAAGTGTTGTAACCAGTGACCAGCACTCACCTGAATGACCGTGTTGCCCCCCTCCAGCAGAGCGATGGCCAATAGGATGCTCTCCTGGAAGATGCGGTCGCTGGTGGCGTTCATGATGAGGTCGATGACCAGGTCAGAAGCCCCTTCTTTGTCCAGGTGGCACTGGACCTCGGCCAGACTCAGCTCCCCTCGACCTCCCACCCCGGAGCTGACAACTGTGGACGCAGAAGTGAATTATCATCAATATTAAAATGCTGATGTATTCAGATTTCAGTCAGGTTACATAATAGAAGATAGGTCACAATTCATTATCATATTTGAATACTTAATGCATCTATGAGTTTGACCATTTTGATCATACTGCAGGCTTTATGCATTTTAATGGATGTGTTGTGACAAGATGAAAAATTATGTCATTATAGTTATAGCCTACTAAAACTATGAAAAAACGCTAAAGATAACACCTAGTTCAGCTAAAAAGGAAAAGTAAGATATTGAATGTGCACTAGTATCAGTTAGTAAGAAAGCCAAATGAATTACGCCCCCCCGCACACTTAAATCAACCAATTATAGGTTACTGGGAAATATTAAGAAAATAAACCACATTTTAAATGTAGAAAATTGTTAAAATTCAATATAGATACATATAACAACTATTAAATCACCACATTTCTATCATTATAGCCACAAAAAAAAAGGAGACGACATATTGCCCAAAAGAGTCTTCAAAGTGATCCTATAATCAACAGTGTGTCCATACTTCTTCTTGGATAAAGACAAATATCTGTAATAAGAGGAGGAAGGCCTGAAGGTAATCAATGCCATCTGCTGATGACTCATCCTTGATTACAGTTCTGCTCAAACAGCTGGTTTGCTAGATAGCATCAAGTTTCCAAGAATCCTGAACAGAAGCACAGCTGACTTCGTATACAAGTTTAATTGAAGAATTGAAATGTTTTATGCCCTAAGCTAAATCCATTTAGTTATGTCAATGGAGCCCTTGCACTGCAAACTTCCAGGAAGGCCTACATAAATATGTCATCAGTACTTCAATAATTATGGCTTTAAAGAAAATAAAAAGGTCCAGAGGTTGTTTAAAGCAGGCTTATACTATATATAAGAAGATGGCGGCGCGTGCGGACGCAGCGGCCCCTCGCTCTCCCGATTGATTGTTGTGCTTTTATGTATGTCTTAATGTGTGCATATGTATAAATGTTGATATACATATATACATATTTTTATATATATTTATAATTTGTAATCGGGATTGTGGGAAACGGTATTTCGATCTTTCTGTCCCGACACACAAACTGAAAGATTGACAATAAATTTGACTGACTATATGTAGCCATATAGGGAAAAAAAAGTGTTTGCAGCATGGAATAAACAACAGGTGTATTTTCTATCCATCCGCCACAAATAACATCTGATGGCACTGCAGCAGCGGTGAGATAACAGCACCCATCAGAGCCGTCTCTGGCTGTGCGAGCCACTGAATCAACAACACATCCCATTCTAGACGGAGCATGGCTCTCTGGTCGCCTGGCAACAACACGGCCCACGTTATGCTGAGCAGAGAGTCAGTATGCTCGGAGGCAGAGCCGAGGTCCAAGGGCTTAAAGGAGTACAAGGCCATGGCTGTGAATAAGATCTCTTTTTTTTTTTCCTTTTCGCTCTCAAGCCTTAGAGATGAACGATGACTCATGGCTGTGATGAGACTCGTCGGCATGAATAAATGTCAGTTAGGAACAATCTATTCGATTTGTGAATGTCAGTCTTGATTGAGGAAAGATTGAGCAAAGTATGGATGGCGAGACGGCTTTTTTTTTTTTCTTTCTTCACAACATATCTATGGTCTTTAAATGTGTTGCTGTGAACCCGATGCACACATGCCCATGATTGCCCAAGACTGCAGATTAACGATATGTGATCCAGGTGGGCGACCGTGTGAAAGCCAACTTTAGTCAAGTGTTACCCAGCGGAAATTGCGCCTGTCGATATGACTATGCAATCTGTGACAAACATTTCCTACGTGATAAGACCTTCCACATAATCTGACAACACTTTCCTGTGAAATGTATTGAATGATTTGACATTATTTTAACTCACTACATTCACAACAGGGACCGATTTTCTCACAAAGAAATAAGTAGAACTTTTGGAGTACATTTTTTTCATTTCCATTATGCTAATTCTCAGGCTTTATTATGTTGTGCCCCTCCTGGGACATGTCTCCTTGCTTTAATGTTCAAAAAGGTCTTTCTTTTTCTCATACTGCCTCTGCTGCAGCACCTCTTTTCACCCTCTGTCTGAAACCAGAGCCCAGTCTGCTCTGATTGGTTAGCTGGCCGGCTCTGTTGTGATTGGTCAACCACTCAGAGATGTCCCACCCCTCAGCCTATCATGTACAATGTGTTGCAGCGCTAGTGGTACATAGTGATGTTACCAGAGGTGTGGACTCGAGTCACATGACTTGGACTCGATTCAGACTCGAGTCACCAATTTGATGACTTTGGACTCGACTTGACAAAATCACAAAACACTTGCGACTCGACTTGGACACCAATGACTCGGGACTTGACTTCGACTTGAGCCTTCTGACTTGAGGTGACTTGATAATTTAATTCAGAGGTCTCCAACACGCCGATCGCGAGATGCCGCTAGAAGAGCAGAATCTCCAGCCGCTGCAACTCTTGCTGAGAATCCTTGCAGGCAGGGGCGGGTCTTTATTTAGCTGGGCCACCATGCGGCCAATCATATGTGAGGACACACTAGGATCATACCATTATGTGAAAGAAGGGTGGGGGGCAGACGCTCCAAAGACAGCAGGTGTAGTGGTACAGGCCAGCTACACAGAGCCACGGGGAGACGGATTTAAATGCAAGCGCGTCGGAAAAAGTCAAGAAATTAGCGAAAACCGAAAAAAGAAGCAGCTTCTGGCTGCATTTCAATGATATTGGAGAAAGCAAAGCTGAGTGCAGGATTTGTAAAATGAAAATAACCTTCAGAGCAGGTTTTTTTTTTGGTAACCACTCAGGATTTATTGTCAGAGGTGGGAGAAGTTCAGATCTTGTACTTGAGTAAAAGTACCAGAGTGTAGGAATACTCGGTTACAATAAAAAGTCCTGCATTCAAAATGTTACAAATAAAAGTACAAAAGTATTAGCATCAAAATACAGTTAAAGTACCACCTGCAGAGGGATCTAGATTCAGGTGTTCTTTTCCCCATAGAGACCGCCTCGCTGCACATTATCCCTTGCATAAAGATAGATTGTGGTTCCCTTATAACATGTTGTACACAGTGGAAATAAACATTCTGGTTACCTCAACATCAGGGATCTTATCAATTAAACTCCTTCTGAATCAAACCGTCACGGTAGCATTACCTTACTGATCCCTCTTACAATAGAAGAAAACACGTTACTTTACCAGCAGAGAGAAAATAGATTATTACAGTATTAATGTGACTAATAAAGAGCAGTTTAATTATTAAGTATTATTCTGTTGATGGGTGTCATTACATTTGGTGAAAAGCACATAATGACTTGTTTAAGACTCGTTTTGTCAAAGTTTAGGACTTGGACTTGACTTGAACTTGCCCATCCTGACTTGAGACTTGACTTGGACTTGAGCACAAAGACTTGAGACTTGACTCGGACTTGAGCGCAAAGACTTGAGACTTGACTCGGACTTGCAAAACAATGACTTGGTCCCACCTCTGGATGTTACTATAGGCGCGTTCACACCGGAGTACTTTTCCCACAATAGTTCATCAGAACTACGATATATTTGCGTTCACACCAAAAAGCCCCAGGAACTAAAGTAGTTCAAATTAGTTCATCTGACCCGCTTTTCAGTCCCTGCTAGAGAGCAGGGACTGTCGTGGGAGAAAATAGTTCATACGTCTGATTGGCTGTGCGGAATGCAAACCACGCCCGGTTGACTCTGAATTTTTTTTTGTAAGCGGCCATTGTATTTGCTCGCTTCGGCCAGCGCACCCGAAGAGATTACTTTTGTGAAAGCAGTTATTATAGCAACACTAAATAAATCATCGGAGCGGTGGAGTGATGAGGATGTGTCGGCGCTTCTGGCGATTTACTCGGAGGACGCGAAGCGCCGCATTCAGAAGCTTCTACTGAATGCAGTTTCCGTGGCTCAGCAAAGTTAGCAGACCTGGCAAAGTCATGTCGGGACGACTACGAAGGTAAAATAAAATACATGCACTGCACTGTTTTAATCTGCACAATACTGGTCTTAGATGTACTTTTATTTGCTCAGTAGATCGAGCTAGCCATGCTAGAACTTGCTATCATAGGTCCAAGCTGGCTAACAACATCTAGCTAGCTAGCTAGCTAGCTATTCTCAGCCGTGCCCGCTATGAACATGTTTTGACTTGTGAATAAGTGTGCAATGTTCTGTAATTTGCTTCACTAACTCATGGCACTAATCGTGTGTTTCAGGCGAGGTGTTTCTCTCTGGATGAGAAACTAGTTTTCCCCTCCGGGATAAAACGATAATATAACGTTAGCAATTAGCATGCTAGCTGGACATAATGCTACCTCTAACAATACATTGTAGTTGCTATAATTTCAAGTCATTTGCAACATTCATTCTACATGTTAATGGTAAAAGCTTAAACAGTTGATTACCTGCATGCCACAAAGACTGATGTTCTAATATATTTGCACATTTATTGATTGTTATAATTGTACTCAGCCATGTTATGTTAGATGTCAATCCACTTACACTGTAACTACTCTGGCCTTAAAAGAAGGTTACACATCTAACTGATGTCCACTAATCCCTATAAAACAAAGTTCAAGCATACATTAAGCACAAAACAATAAATAAGGGCACTTTGATATTTATTTTTTATATTATTTGATCCTATCTTTTTTTTTGTGATCAAATTTTGTATTTATAAAAGAAATGGTACAATCAATAACATAAAATGCAATACATTACAAAAACAGCACAAAACTAAAGAAAGAAACAAAACCCAGTGACGTGACGTCCCTCCCCACCCACCCATCCATCCAGATCACCATCCCCATTAGATAGTTATCCTAATATGCCCTTGAGGTTCACAATGAGCGAAGTCCACATCTCTATTGTTGACTCCTTTGCCCCATGTACCCGGGCTGTCGATATTTCTAGATACGATATGTCTAGATATGTTAGAACCCAGACCTTACGTGAGAGGGAATGGGGAGGC